GGCCTATGCAGAACAGCAGCGGGGATAGTGCATCACCCTGGTATATGCCGCACTTGATGGTGACTTGTGCTATTGGCTTTGCATTGACTTCCAGACTTGTTTTCCACAGCTTCATTGAGTTCTTGATGAAGGCTATTAGAGTCCTGTTGATCTTGTACATTTCCAAGCATTCCAGTATCCATGTATGTGGCATTGAGTCATAGGCTTTCTTATAGTCAATCCAGGCAGTGCACAGATTTGTCTGCCTGGTCTTACAGTCTCGAGTGACTGCTCTATCCACTAGTAGCTGGTGCTTGGCTCCTCTGGTGTTACTGCCTATTCCCTTCTGGGAAGGGTGCATGTATTGAGCCATGTGCCTATTCATCTTAGCCGCTATGATGCCTGACAGGAGCTTCCATGTTGTACATAGGCAAGTTATTGGCCGGTAGTTGGATGGGGTTGTTCCCTTCTGGGTATCCTTCATGATCAGGATTGTCCGTCCTTGGGTTAACCATTCTGGGTGGGTCCCATCCATCAGCAGTTGGTTCATTTGTGCTGCGAGGCGTGCATGAAGTGCGGTTAGTTTTTTCAGCCAGTAGGTGTGGATCATGTCAGGGCCTGGTGCTGTCCAGCTCTTCATACCTGCCGCTCTTTCTTGGACATCTGCCGTTGTAATGGTTACTGGTTCTTGTTCTGGGAGATTGCTGTGATCTGTTCTAAGATCTTCTAACCACTGAGCATTGGTGTTGTGGGATGCCTTCTTCTCCCATGTTTCTCCAGTACTGTTCAGTCTCAGCCCTGGGTGGATCTGATCTTGAATTACCCTGCCACTGTGAGTACACTTTGGATGGGTTGGTGGAGAACACCTGGTTTATTCTCCTGGCTTCTGCTTTTCCCTTGTATCTCTTTAGGCGGGTGGCCAGGGCGGCGGGTCTTTGTTTGGCAGTTTCTAGAGCCTCAGGAATGGACAGCTTGTTGTACTTAGGTAACCTTTTCCCTACACCTTTCTGCAGGTCTGAGAGCTGACTAACCTCTCTTCGTGTTGCCTTGATCTTGGCTTCCAGCCTTCTCCTCCATGGGGGCTCTGCTTTGTGGCCTGTGGTGTTTATCTTATAGCCAAGCATCTCTAGGATCACTGTAGCTGTGGCGTAGGTCAGCTCGTTGGTGTCAGTATATCATATCTCATATCTCAGTATATATAGATATATACATATAGATATATATAGATATATACATATGTATATAGATATATACATATATATGTATATATGTATGTGTGTATATGTATGTATATATGTATGTATATATGTATATATGTATGTGTGTGTATATATATATCTATATATATAGATATATATATATATGTATGTATATGTATATATGTATGTATATATGTATATGTATATATGTATGTGTATATATATATATGTATGTGCGTATATATATGTATGTATGTATGTATGTATGTATGTATGTATGTATGTGTATATATATCTGTATATGTGTATATATGTATATGTATATATGTATGTATATATGTATATGTGTGTGTATATATATATACGTGTGTGTGTGTGTATGTGTGTATATATACATTTTTTTTTTTGACAATTTTGATATAATTCCTGCTCTAAATGTGTGGCTCCGTCACCTAAAGGCATGTTTAAGAGTCTTTATGCTCCAATTAATAATCGATTGATTACTAAATTAGTTGACAGTTATTGCATTAATTGATTAATCCGATTGTTTCAGCCCTAATTTGAATTTTGAACATTCCTAACAGGATGTTAAATAAGAAAGATTTGAGATGGCTGTAGATCCAGTGAGTCACACAGTTTTGTTAAACCTAAATCAGCTGCGGCTGTTGAATGCATTTAAAGGGCTGTTGTAATATCTCCCGTCCTCCTCCTTTTCTAAATTGCATAACCTAAACCATGTTGGGGGTAAGTGTAAGACTTTGCATGCTGCCAGAATTTTAATGCACATTCAGCCTCATTTCTCCTCCACTTCATACCACAGCTTATGCTTCAGTTTGCTTTTGGTTTCTGTTTTTTCCAAACTGATTACACCATTTGTGTGCATTACACTTCCAGTGAGAGCAGCTAGCCAGTGCACCGAAGTGAAGATGGTTTGTGTTTCTCAGTCCTTCCTGGAGTCTGTTTCACTCTGCTACTAACCTCTAGTAGAGGGCTGATACTAACGCAGCTGCTTCTTATGAATCAGACTCATGCTTTTCTGTGCATGGAAATAGTATGGGATTAATAATCTAAATGTGTCTGTGGAATTCTTCCTACCTGCTCATCCATTTACATGTTTTATTAACTGTTAGACTCATTTAAGGAGGTTTGCTTTTCTTCAGCATGTGAGGCTGCATCCTCGCTCCAGTCAGTCAGCATAGATTTAGCAGCAAGGGAATTTCTATTTGTCTTTTTTCATAAGCATGTTAACCATTCTGATGTTTATTTATAATGTTTTTTTCTGCTTATTCTCCCCATGTCCATATTTCTCCATGTTGCCATAGATGACGACCTAGCCGGACCAGTGTAAGTACAACTATTTAGGCCGTGCTACCTTATCTGTGTTAAGCTTTGTGAAGTGGCGTGTGTTTGGTTGTAGATTATCCTGATGGATCTCACTGTAAACTGCGTCTCCAGATCTGGGTCAGAGAACATACGCTTCCGCCATTACTGCTTCAGATGGGAAATAATCTCTGGATTGTAGATTTTAGTGTAGAGCATCAATACTTTCCATGGTACATTGTCAACATAGTGATAAATATGGTTTTAAAAGAATATTAAGTGTGACGATTTAGTACATTTCCTAAGGAAAATGTCCCAAAAAAACTGTAATTCCTTTTTCTTAGAACATCTAAGCAACACAAAATTGCCCTATTAGAGTGAGTACCAATAATGGTATTTTGGCAGAAAAAAAAAATATATATATCGATAAGTATTTAAGGTAAAACAACAGAAGATCAGTTCAGCTTTGTTTTCAAATAGCCATTACTGTAAAAATGTCCTTAGCTGTATATTTGTTATTTATTCTCCATGTGCATAGTTTTTTTTATATTGTTAAAACACTTAACAGTATTTTATTGTTTATCTTTTAACTCTTTAATATTATGTTATCCTTATACCTTTTTCTAAGGTCCATATTTGTGTGACCATGTTTTCTATAATCTTTTTGCTGCTGAAAACACCAGAATTTCCCCATTATGGGACAATAACGGGATTTTCTATTCTATTTTATTCTATTCTATTCTATTCTATTTTAGCCACTAGACAAGCAGCGTGCAGAAACAGAAGTAGTCCTAAATACAGCCATAGAAACCTCTGGTGAATCCAGAAGATATATCGGTAATGCTTTCTTTTACAGTACATCATGAACTATGTAATAACATAAGCAATAATATAGTAATATAGCAAGTTATGCTATATTACTAGGTAACAAGAAAAACATTAGGGAGAATTTTTGTTAGTGCTGTGCTTCAATTTTTATGCAGACAAGGTAAAGTCAGACTTCTTTAGATTTCAAACCGTTAATACCAGGTACGGTAACTTATATTCATTTCGCAGACAGCAATAAATTAATGAGTTATTATCTGGTAAAATGCAATTTATTACTTTTTTATTCGTTTTGTATCGATGCATCGTCACGTCCACAAGATAATCGATTCATGTTTTTTTTCCCCTCCGGTCTATTTTTATCCATTTGCTCTTGGGCGTAATTCTCCTCCCGTGCTGCGGTGGCGCTAAACCTATTTTGCCCTCCTACCTTGCTTCCTGGTTATACTCTTACAGCAGTTTGTTGCAGTGAGCTTGACGTAGACATTTTTGATTTATGCTCAATATTGAAGCGTGGTCTGTGCTACACGCTGTGGGTCTAGATACGGTCGAGGCGGCGAGGAAGTGGGGGCGAGTTTAGTCCGACGACGGAGGGACATGAGGGCCAAAAAGAGCGGAGATCCAGGTGGAAAAAGGGTCCCAGCGTTCTCGCGCACCTCGCTCTTCTAGCGGGTCAAACTTCACGAGTTGTTTTCCGCAATTTCGGTCATAAAAACAAAACAAGCCGGCCTCCTGTCTGCGGCACTGTCTGCGGTCAGCTACAATCTGGGAGTAGAGGGGGCGGGACGTCTGGAGCTGAGCTATTGCATTGCACTCATTGCACTGATTTTGTGCAGTATTTTTTGATGCAACTTGTCTACTTCTGTTATTTGCTGTTGTTTCAAAAAAAAAAAAGCATAACGATATTACAGCTTTAATTGATTTATTTCAAATTTGAAACATTGTCTAGCCTGTAAGGTGTAAAAAAAAACAAAAAAAAAACACGAACCAATAAATTAACCAACAATTAATCGAATCGTATCGTGGTGTATTCTTGAGTATCGAAAATAATCGAATTGTTGTCTAGGAATCGACACTGAATCGAATCGCCATGATGGGTGTGACTTACTAGCCTGACGTAGTCCGACTCAATTCTAGTCAGAACATGAGTCTGATGCTGCTCCATAGAGCTGTGATTATGGGGCGTGTTTCGAACGAACCAGGAAAAAAAATGCCTCTGCACTCAATTGGATAGACCTACAACCAATAAGAGCAACGGAGTGCATGACGTATGTTAAGCGAGGCACAGTTGTTGTCCACAAAAATCAAAGCGTGCAGTTGCACGCCTAGAATAAGAAGATGAGCCTTGATCGCGTTTCTCTGTTCCTCTTTTAAAATTAATTTGCTGTCGATATCTTCTAGAACAGACTTAATAGCAGAATCTACTCACCTCAACTCTCCAGCGGCAGCCATTGTTGTTGTCACCCAAGCGCGCTTTGGTCACGTGGTTGATTACGTTACTGTTGATCATCTGTCCATCATCGTATAAAGCCCGCCCTGACAATTTGATTGGCCCGCCAGATATTGTGCGAGCGTACTCGCGCTACTATTGAGCAATGCCAGACCGAACTTCCCGACCTCAAACGTTGTGGGCGGGACTAAGTTTCGGAATGGCACTCAGGCTAGTGATTTACACCCCTACTTGGCATATACTGTAACAGAAAACCAAACCTAGAAGACAGCAAGCCAATCTTCTTAACTAAACTCTTATTTATATGTTACTTGAGTTTAGTTTTTAAAATGCTTTAGTTACCTGATCATAAGTTACAGTTTAATCTGTAACTAGTTGGTAGGTGATGGCCAATAATAGAAACTGGTAACCTGATGGTAATTACAACGTTATATAGTGACATACAATTATTATAATAAAATGCAGGTTATTATTTTGAAATTATACACATTACTCTTGGGGTAATTAGCCAAAAAAGTAGTTATTGTTACCAAGTGCTATAGTGCTATTTGCTTTGTTATTACCATGTTATTACATGATTACTGATGTACTGTAAAAAAAAAAAAGCGTTTGTGTAGAAATGTTTGTCCTTTCAGCCAGCTGACAAGCTGTTTGCAGCAATATGTGGGTTTTTTACTCTGTGTATCATACAGCAGGTGAAAACTTAGGTTACTTTGATGGTGACTGGGTGAATTGTTTTTTTTTTTAATTGAACAGTGCAGTCAGCTGAGCTGCAGTGTGCAGCAATGTGCGTCTGTACAGCCGAAAAACACTTTTGTGATTTCTTTGGCATCCTGTTACAATTAGTTTAAGAAGTACAAACAATATGACGCAATCTTTTTCCAGTGTGTCTCACTAATCATAATTTTCTTAAAAAAAAAAAATCTTGCCCAACAAGCTGTAATGAGAAAATTATTTTCAGATATGACCAAAAACCATAGTATGTAACACATTAAGAAATGTGTAACTGGCTCCAGATGTGGTGCATTCCTCGATTGATTGGACCCCAGTCTTGTGCTTGGAGGTATTTCCATTATTTGAAAGGAAGTTCCAACAAAATGCAAAATAAAACTTTTTGTTTTAGCTCCTTAGCAAATAAAATAAAATAAATGCAAAGCAACCAACTACAGCTGTAATATATCAGTAGATAAATAAGATGTTATTGCAATAGAAGGAGTATTTTTTAAAAGTGAAATAAAATAATTGGATAATATGCACTTAAAAAAAGACAATCCAATTGTTTTTCTTATTCTAAATGTAATTTTTCTTGTTCAATTGGAAAAGTGTCTCACTTACCTCCTCAATGCAAGAAAAAATACATTTATTTAAAAACAAAAGACTTATTTGGATGGACGTTTTTTGCAGCGTGTAAATAAAGGTTCTGATCAGGGCCAGAGACAGAGGGCAGCCATATCAGAGTCCAACATGCTCCGGGAACAGATCCCCACTGAATTTAATCCCCTGTTAGAGGATTAAATTACGGCATCTGAGCTTCCGTTCAGTCTCTCTATTTGCATCTTCTCAGAAGGGATTTTTTTCATGCCTAAAAGAAAAATGTGTCTGTAGAGTTGCACCTAAAAAGAAATGAACTCCCATGGCTAAATTAGTTTATTGGAAAAGAAAAGTGTTAATAGTGTTATTAAATAAAACAAATAATGTAATGATTCTATTTATTCAATATACTAAATAATACTTTTAATGACAGCTATTCTCATATTTATTCAACCCTGAATAGAATTGGCACCAATTAAGATGGCTTAGAAAATAGCTGGATAGTTGAGGGTGATTAGGGCTGCAACTAACGATTATTTTAAAAATAGATGAATCGGCCGATTATTTTTTCGATTAATCGATGAATCGGACAAAAATATTTTTTATATTGACCTCTTTATTCCAAAATAAACATTTTAGACAGAACAAACAAGCATGCAAGTACAGGTTGCTCATTAACTGTACAGGTGCAATATGAAAAATAAATGTTTGTGTTAAAACTACACAAACTTACATGAGAAATGTAGCTGTACATCCACAAAATATAGGCTACTTTGTTTCATAAAGAGCAAAAAAAGACATTTTTGTTTTTTAAAGCCCCTAAGGGGTTCAAACAATAGGCCCCCCCATTTCAACAAATGAGTTTTTTTAGACTAGAAGAGTTCTGCCTTTTAAGACAGGAAAGTATAGCAGTTAAAGTTGCTACTTGAGAAAATACTGAACCATAGAGATAAAAATAGCCCTGTGATTCAAATTATAAATTGTATTTGGAATAAAAATGAGAGAACTAGGGGTGCTAAAAAACACATCCTCCAAAGACAGATATTTACATGGGAATGTGGCAGATAATTAATTGACATATTACTGATCTTGCTGGATTTTATTCTGCTTTACTTCCATAAATTGCAGGATCTTCTTTATCTTTGCCAGAAGATTTAAACTTTAAAAGCCTTGCCCTCATAATTTGCGAGTTAATTTATTTATAAAGGCTATTTTAATTATTGTGATCAATTTGCGCCGTCAATCCCGGCGCATGCGCGCTTCATTTGCAGTCTGGACACTGAGGGTAAACATCCTGCGGCTCTGACTGCAGCACTGAGAGGGATTCCTGCGGGAGAACGGGGTTGGGATGGGGGAGGCGCCCCACGGCAGAGTAGGAACGATGCATGCTTTCACGTAAGAGTCTCCAAAAGTCGCCAGTGACACCGTAAAAAGTCGCCAGATTTGTCGCCAGTCGCTTTTTTGAAAAATAGTCGCTGGAGGGGTCTGAAAAGTCACTAAATATAGCGACAAAGTCGCTGAGTTGGCAAAACTGCATCTGCGGCGCTGGCTCGCTCTGCCGTAATTTTTTTTCCTTCCCCCGCTTCAGTCAAGTGGCAGTGATGACGGCGGCGGCGGATGACGCATTAATCGTGCGACACAACTAATCAATGATGAAATTCGCTGCCAACGCTTTTAAAAGTCGATTTTTATCGATTTTATCGATTCGTTGTTGCTGCCCTAAGGGTAATGTTTCACTACATGGTAGAATATTGCTACTCCAGTCGATTTAAAATAATACAAAATAAATGAAGAATTCAAAAAAGGTAAATATGCTAGAGGCCCTGAATGTTCCCAGAAATGCTAATAGAAGTATAGTTTTCAAGTTTAAAGCTAAAGGAAGAGTTGATACAAGGAGGAAAACTATTAATGACTGCCAGGAGCTTCCTGAAGAGACGGGTGGTCAGATCTCCATTGAAACGGTAAAGAATCTGCAGCAGGACAATATGGAAGACTGGTAACACTTTCTTTTACAGTACAGCAATGACCATGTAATAACATGGTAGTAACATACCAAGTTACGCTATATATCAAGGTAACAAGAAAAAAAATGCTAAGTACTGCGCTTCAAATTTTAGGCAGACAAGGTTTAGTTAGATTTCTTAGATTTCAAGCAGTTATTACCAGGTAACTAATTTCACTGATGGCAATAAATTAATGAGTTATTATCTGGTAAAATGCAGTTTATTACTTGGCAACAGAAAACCAAAAGCTAGAAGCCGGCAAGCCAATCTTCTTAACGAAACTCTTAATTATATGTAACTTGAGTTTAGTTTTATAATGCTTTATTTACCTTTTCATGATTTACAATTTACTTTGTAACCTGTTGGTAGATGGTGGATAATAATAGAAACTGTTATGTGATAACCTGATGGTAATAATTATTAGGGATGCAGGATATTGGGATTTTGGCCGATATCCGATATGCCGATATTTTAAAACTCATGTAGCCGATAACCGATATCGATACCGATGTTAAAGCTGGACAAAAATAAGTAGTCATTGAAAATAGCAGTTTTGTTATCCATTTCTGACACTTTGAAAAATAATATACTCAAATATATTTTCATATGCTGATATCAAATTGATTTTTAAAAACGCGGTATCGATCTATTTTACTTTCAAAATCTGGTGAAACTTCATTGTTCTGTTACAAACTCTCATGATATTTTGCAAATTCTTGTGAGATTTTGTTAGTAAAATAGATCGATACCGCGTCAATATATCAACATATAAAAATATGGCAACATTTGGTGAATTTTCGGGGGATTTCGTAGCATAACGATGACATATAGCAATATTTCATTAGTAAAAGAGATTGATATGGTGTTTTTAAATGGCAATTTATCAGCATATGAAGATATTGGGATATTTTAATGGATCAATATTTTTTCCCTCGTCTTTAGAAGTTTTTAAGTCTGTAAAAAAGAAGTTTTTGATGAAGAAGAAGAAGTAGTATTTTTTATTTTTTTTTTAGACTTTAGAAACTCAGAAGCTGATCAAATATCGGGTTAAATATCGGTGGGGTGGCCGATGTCCAATATTCAGTTTTAAGGCCGATACCGATAGGGGGCCGATTATATCGTGCATCCATAATAATTACCCACCAAAAGTTACATAGTAATGTAAAATTTTAATAATTACATGCAGGTAATTACTTTAAATTATATATTCCGTAAAAAAAAAAAAATATTCACTGGACTTGGTTTCCAAGGTTTGAAGACGTTTTGCTTCCTCTCCAGGAAGTTTTCTCAATTCAAATGTCTGGATCCGCAGTGAGTTTGAGTCTTATATAGATAAAGCCTTGTATCGCTTGGAAACATGCACCGATGAATGGGTGGTTTGGTTCCATCGTTAGCCTGTAATATCTGAAATCTGTCTATAATTCTGAGGGTCGGTCGTTAAAGGGGGGGGATTGCCGTTAAGGGGGGGATTGTCTCCTGTAATACCTGAAACCTGTCTATGATTGTTAAGAGTCGGTCGTTAAGAAGGAATTGTTCACCAGCTGGAGCGGGTAGGTCTATGACCTGGATGACTAAGAATCTTCATCAGCATATTTAAATGATATACCTTAATTTTGGGTTTATTGCTAAATAATTTTTTTCTTGTTACCAAGTAATATAGTATGACTTTGATGTTTTTACTCGTTATTATCTGGTTATTTATGTACTGTAAAAAAAAAAAAAAAAAAAGCCTCACTGGAAAACTGAGGGCTTCATGCCTGAACACCAAGACTATAAAACTGACCCAGAAGGTTAAAAAAACTCCCCTCCAGTTTCTTGAAAATAATAATAATAATAATAATAATAATAGGAATCTGGTTTAATCCATTAAATCCAAGCTGGAACTATCTAAGTCTGGAGGAAGGATCAAACACTTGCTGATGGTGCGTTAGTGATGCTATGGGGCTAATTCTCTTTGTCTTGAAATAGAAAAGTCATCATACTGTCTGACTTGAGTTCTATTGAAAAACTCTGGTGGGAATTGCTCGAACGCTCAGAATATTAATGACATGGATGCTGTTTCCTATAAACAGGGATCTACAGTTGGGTCAAGAACTTTGCCAAAATTTGATGGAAAGTTTTGAATCATGTTTGCAGAAAGTCAATGCAAAACGCCTCTTTAAAGGCATACTATGCAACATTTTTCAGTTAATTAATGTGTTCCATAACGTTTTGGACGATTAAATGAGTCATTTCAGGTAACAAAGGTTTTCTCAGCCGCCCTGGTGGTCTGTAGGGGAAACACCGTACTTGCAGTTGCAGGAGCCCTCGGCCCGCACCCACAGGCTCAGAAGTCTCGCGCATCGCGAGAGTCGGTCTTGCTTTACGGCGAGAACTTGGCTAACTACAATCTTTGTTATTTAGACACATGCATAACAAATAATGCATGAAAACATGCTAAATTTTCAAACTCGAAAATTGGAGCAAAATAGTCACTTACCGCAGTAGACATGGTGATTCGTTGCGTTCGCCTGTCTGCTAAGCTCAAAACAACCGCGCCTGGCTTGACGGAGAAACCAGGAGAACAGCTGAGCATATTTACGACAGTGCACTTTTACTTTCGCCCTCTGGGGGGAGCCTCGCTGGAAAATCAACACCGGTTGCATAGTATACCTTTAAGAAGAATTAAATGGAGGTGTTGGATATTTTCATCCAGCAGAGTTCTTTAAAAGTTGCCTTTATTTTTTATTTTTAGAAAATTCTTCTCAATATATGATAGTAAACTTCATCCAGAGCAGCAGGTGAATATTTTTAGGTGCAACGGCTGTAGAAAAAACATAAAAGGAAGGTTATTATCCACGGTTTTGATTTTAGATTCACTATGTTAGTCTTTGACACAGCATTCCTGTTGACCCACCATGTAATAATTTAATCTTAATTCCAAACAAGAATCACAATCTTGTCCCCATAAATATTTAGCTCAGTAATTAAGGAGTTTATAGGAATAAAATACCTCCTGAAATGTAGAACTGAAGTACATATATTACACAGATGTCATATTCTAGCCTCATTAACAACCTGATCGCAGTATTAGCCTTTATATAATTGTAGAATAAGCGCCGGATTCCCACAATAACACAAAACATCTAATCACTGTTATCTTTTTCTATCCTGTTTAAAGTGCCGGTTTATAGCTCTTCTAGTTGTTTTTTCTAGTTCAGAAAGAAAGTGGAAAACCTGTTTCAGTTTTCTCTTTCCTGCCTCTTCCAGCTTTAAAAAGCCCCCATATGTTGTCTTAATATAATAACTAATGAGATATTTCAGTGCTGTGTTCTTTCTGCCATGGATTTATGTTTCATATGAGAGGAAAACTGACTGTCAATTATTTCCTCTTTAAAGGAAAACTAATTCAACCAACAACCACAAAGACAAGAACCTTCGTCAGAGGAACACAAACTGAGAAACATGTCTGAAGAGTAAGTATTTCATTATGAGGTTTAATGTGAATAATGTCAACATCAGTGACTTGTAAGTTTAGCTTGATTGTCCCTGAGCGGTTAGAAGCTGCTCAGAAACTCCAATAAATTTGGTTCTGATTAGTTAACACACCAAATAACTGAAGGGTTTAAGGTGTGATGGAAAATGCCGCACTGCACATCATAAATGTGCCAGACAGATCCTACAGACGCATGAAGCGGACATCACATTATAGATGCTAATGTGTTTATTTGTTAGACTTGGAGGATGGCAATAGACAGAGGGGGAGGATGAGAGGAGACCGGTATAGAACCGATCACAACGGTGCAAAGAAGAATGAAAAAAATCTGTCTTGTTGCAGCAACTGTAAAATGGTTTACAGTTGCCTTTTGTATCTATGCTTCTATTTCTATGTCTGCTTCTTGTTCCTTGACTGGGGTTCAAGGAGGCAGAAGCAGAGACACAAAAAGCAGCTGTAAAAGGCGGCCCCGTCCAGGAAACACACAGCCAGGCAGACGAGCTCCGAGCCAGCTCCCATGTCAGAGGATGAAGAGAGCACATCCAGTTAGTCACAGTCAGAGAAACAGGACTACACTGGAAAACAGGCCAAGCTCCAACATCTAGAAACAAAGGTGTTGATGGCAGCAGCAAAGCAGATATTTCTCTCCAGGATGGAGTCACAGCCAAACAGGAACAGACCAGATGAAGCTACTATGAGAAAAAGCAGAGAGAGCAGAACGTTAGAGATTGAACTAATAGATTCTGCAGAGTGGGAGAATAGAGATAGAATGAAGCAGAATGATGAAAAAGGTGTCCCTATGTCCTCCAGCAGTCTAAGCCTATATATCCATCTGGAAACCTTCCGTTGAAGTAATTTTGGGAAGGGGCGAAAATACTGGTTAGCTGATTGGCCTATGTTGGTGATAGACGGGCCAAATAAACCAATCAGATCAACGAAGCATATGACGTACTAACAGAGCGACGACGAAGAGGAGCCAATTGATAGATCAAACTCTTGCCGAAACCAGTCGGGAGAAGAGCAAAAACATCTTTTCCTCTGAGAAAAGCCTCCAGAGCAGTGTTTTGCTCTTCTTTCAGTGAAGAAATACTCTGTAATTCCGATAAAACTTGCTCGATAGCCACGCTAACGCTAGTTTCATCGGCTGAAGCCGCCATGTTCTTTAGACTGAACTGTCGCGCTTCTCGTTGCGTCACACCTCAACCCGCCTCAAAGCCAACGCTGATTGGACGTTCGTTTGGTGAACGGCTCCAAATTTTCTTTAACGGAGAGTCTCCAGGCTGATCTGCGAGTGAAACCTTGAAAGCTCGCAAGATCAGGATGGTCTCACCAGGCTAGAAGTGCAGCCATTGCCTTTTGTTTAGAAAAGGTTTGTTTTGACGTCTTCATCCACTGTAAATGATTTTTCTTTGGTGACTTGCTTCATTTCCGGTACCGCTACATATTAAAACAACAACCGTATTTTATTTTCATTTAGATGGCAAAACAAAACTCAAACGCTGTTGATTTTCTATTAATTCGATTTTTCATTTTTTTCGATTTAGGTTTTAAAAACGGAAAAACAGAAAAACCGCATGCTTGTTTTGTTTTTTTCATTTTTGTTTTGAAACGAAAAAACCAAAGAACGAGCCATACGCGGATTTATGCAGTACTTACATATTTTTTTTCATAAAGAAAGTCAAAAGTGGTTCCAATCAGCAGTTAAAGCTTCATAGAAAAACAGAAAACTGCATCTTTAGATGAGCCGGTAGCTGACGATGTTATTGTAACAGAGCTGTGATTAGAAATGTTGACGGACAGATTTAATAATCCAGATCTTCTCTGTGTTCGCAGGTCTCATTATTCATGTATTGACCATATGAAGGTAAACGAGAAGGAACTCCATGTCAGTCGCTCATAAAATGTATCTGCCATTAGAGAAGCGGTTTTGGGGCGAGTTAAATGAGGCATGCCTTATTATTTTCCTGTGTGAGGGTGTGTGACATGAAGGTACTTGAACCATAACAAAGTTAACATTTTACCCACTGTTGCTGCATGCAGTTGTTGTTTGAGTTTTTTTTTCTTCTCGATCACTAATATTATATTTTTACAACTTATAAGGTAATGCATGCAAAATACTGACCTTCTGTTTGACACAGAAATGGCTTTCTCTCTTATTTTTATTTTTTTCCTGAGGTTGTAGAAACTCTGTACTGTGAAAAAAAAAGAAACGCTGCAGTGGAAAAGAAAAGATCACTATAACCTGGTATGACAGATGTGTAAAGTTTTATCATTCTTCTGCATACCGATAATTCATTTTATTATATCATATATATATATAAATAATATATGTATATCACATTTAAGGGCTTTGCAGTGTCCCTCTAAAGTTGTTAAAGGTTTACTTTACTTCATGTATGTACTGTATGTAATAAATCTCTATAATTCTGTATGAAATCACAATAATTATAAAGGTTATTCATATCATATGATGCACTTAAAATGTTAGTATATATGATGAACTGTACAAATCTACTTTAGGAAGTCTGTACTAATCATTCTAACATATTATTTTCTATTCATGTGTATTGTACAGCATGGCTATGATCCTATGCAATTATTATCCATATCAGTATATTGAAAGTCAAAGTCATTGCAGCTTCTGATTCTTCTGTGACAAAGCTTTAAACTAGTAGGATCACCGTAGAGCGTCGACAGCGTACTCACACAGCTGCATGAGTTCTCATCCGCTGGCATGGGAGGGGGTGTGAAAGAGCCCCATGTCAGAGCCCACACGTCAAATTCTAGGACTCATTTTTAACAATAAATATATTAAGACAAAAAAAAAAATCCTCTCCTGTATTGTTTTGTCCTTTTTTTTTTTTTTTTTTTTTGTTGAGAATAGCTCATTCATGCAGCTTTTTTCCTAAAAACATGTGGAGAAGAGCGCCATCTAGTGACATTATAATGGATTTAATCGATCAGATTGGTCTTTACCATAAGAACCAATGTATTGTAGAAAGATATGTGTGCAAATAAAACAAAGTCCCCTCCACAGAGTTATCTAAAAAGTTTTGACTCTTCCACTTTATTGCTAAGTTTAAGTAATGAATTATAGAGAGAAAAAAATGGGTTTATATCAGATGTCAGATAAAATGTTTCTTCTGGTCAGGATTGCTGATAGGGATGGGTATCCTTTCAAATATTAAGAATCCTTTCAATTCTGGAAATTTAGGATAGATTTGATCTTTTTTGGTATGATCCCAAATTTGATTTTTTATTTTTTTTTTATTACATTTTTCAAATGGATATACAAAAGCTAAAATAAAAGATCAAATCCCCACCCTTCCCTTACCCACACAAAACACCACATCATAGAGCACTTACACAGTCAAGACAACATGATGAAAACACCATAAATTGATCCAAAGCATTCCACAAGCATGAAAAGAAAAAAAAAGGAGAGTTATACAGGGTATTACGGTAAGTTAGTCATAATCACTTTTTCATTGATGGAATTTTAGTACAGTCCCAGATTTTCTCAAACACATCGACCTTATCTTCGTTATAGTGGCTCAGTCTTTCCAGATGCAGAGTGTTTGCTAGTTCTCCTAAACACAAATCAAATGTGGGCACCGAGTCCTTTTTACAAAATTTAAAAATCATTCTTTTAGCAATCACCGTAACAAACAAGACGCCATTTTCTCACTTTTATTGCCTGGTCGCAAAGCACTGGAGATCCAAATGATGGCAATAAGAGGATCTGGATCCCATTTTTCCCCAAAATTTTCTTCCAGAATGAGTGAAGCTGAACACATGACCAGAAGGAGTGCGTCAAGTTACCAATAGCAACCCGACAAATTGGAGAAACACTAGGAAAGAACGTGCTCAGTTTCTCCCTTGAATAATGGAGCCTATGTACCAAATTCCATTTTTTGTGTGTGTGTATTTTTTTGCTGTTACCTGAATTTTAAGACATGTGGAAGGAAGAGGATTAGGGCCACTGGAAAAAAAAAAAAAGTTAACTGATTTTTACATTTTATTTCAGTTTAGTATGGGGAAAAAAGTCAGAATTCTGACTTTAATCTCAGAATTCTGACTTTAATCTGAGAATTCTGACTTTAATCTGAGAATTCTGACTTCAATCTCAGAATTCTTACTTTAATCTGAGAATTCTGACTTTAATCTCAGAATTCTGACTTTTTTTCTCAGAATTCTGACTTTAATCTGAGAATTCTGACTTTTTTTCTCAGAATTCTGACTTTAATCTGAGAATTCTGACTTTTTTTCTCAGAATTCTGACTTTAATCTGAGAATTCTGACTTTTTTTCTCAGAATTCTGACTTTAATCTCAGAATTCTGACTTTTTTCTCAGAATTCTGACTTTAATCTGAGAATTCTGACTTTAATCTCAGAATTCTGACTTTTTTCTCAGAATTCTGACAGATAACAAACATGTTAGCATCAAGCCATAGCCATGTCTGTTTTAGAGACTAGCTCTCTTGTTTTAATGACCTTCTGCTCCTCCATTAATGAGGGGACCCCTCGGGAACGTAAAAAGTTGCCTAATTTTTCCACCAATGTGTCACTGGCCACCTCAAACAACTCACTTCTTTGTCAGTGAAGCTGAGCGCTCCACATCTCTGCCTTCATGGTGCCCATCTACATTAAGATCCAAAATTCTGAAATTAAAGTCAGAATTCTGACTTTTTTTCCCATGTTAAACTGAAATAAAATGTAAAAATCAGTTAACTTTTTTTTTTTCCAGTGGCCCTAATCCTCTTCCGTACACGTGCAAAATACAGTGGAAGCCATTAAAAATGGCCCTTCCCAGTCAAACTTCAGCCGAATGGCCACCCACTTCCCTGCAACTCCCGGCAAAATCCCCTCCAACTTCCAGCCCAGTGTTGTATAGTAAGAAAGTAAAAATACTTCACTACTGTACTTAAGTATAATTTAGAGTACTTTATACTTTCCAAGAGTATAAATTTTTTTGAGAACTTTCACTTTTACTTCACTACATTTACGAACTTAATTGTATACTTTCACTTCGACACATTTAAAATCTTTGGTTTAGTTACTAAGTAAAAAAAAAAAAAAACGAGCGAGAGAAACGCAAGTGTTTTGACCCCCCCCCCCCCTACTGACTACGAAGTCGGGTCTTGCCTGAGCTTGTTCATCAACACCAATAGATACGCCTGTTTGGCAAAGCCAGTCTAAATTTATCCTACTCTTGGTTGTTTTTATTATTTTAAGTGAATTTAACCTTCAAAGTTTACCAAAATGTAAAAAAAAAAAAAGTCATTCAAACTGCACTACTTTTTACTTATACTTTTCACTACATTACTTGAGTACATCTATTTTTACAGTAATTCTTATACTTAAGTACAAGCCATTTCAGATACTTTAAGACTTTTACTCCAGTAACATTTCATTCAGTGACTTGGACTTTTACCAAAGTCATATTTTGGAGAGGTACTTATACTTTTACTGGACTCCGAGATTTCAGTACTTTATACAACACTGGTCCAGCCACTGGCCTTCTCCTGGGCATGCATTTTTTTTTACTCTGACTCCACCCTTTCACTAAATTACAGGGTCTGACCAAGAGATGACGCTTCTCTTTACCTGTGTGAAGTTGGCCCCCCCACCTTCTTCAAATCAGACAAAATTGATGTCAAACATTTGTGCTACGTTTGTGCAGCAAAAATTTTCGTTTGTGCCGCTTTCATTTTAAAGATATAAAGAGATGTTTCTAGAGGTCATCAAAGGTCAACCAGCCCCCCCTCTTTCTTCAAATCTTCAAATCCAAAGCAGCACAAACGAAACTTTTTGCTGCACAAACGGAGCTGAGTTAATTGACACCTATTTCGCCTGATTTGAAGAAGGTGTGTGGGGGGGGGGGGGGGGGGAGGAGGGGGGGGGGGGTGCTGGTTGACCTCTAGAAATATTTCTTTATATCTTTAAAACGATAGCGGCACAAACAAACATTTTTGTTGCACAAACTAGCACAAACATTTGACACAAATTTTGTCTGATTTGAAGAAGGTGGGGGGGGCCAATTTCACTCAGATCTTCTCTTTAGATCTTAATTTCCACAAATCATGACAGAATTTAGTACAAAGATTGATGTTTAAAAAGGAATTGTAGGACCAGTCAAGAAAAGAAGTTTGAATTTTGAATGGCTACTAATGTATTGGTGCTGGTCTGAAATTAACATTCAGCAGTATTGTAGTTAATGGCAGCCATAAGGACAGTAGCGTCTCTCCTTATGGCTGCCTGTATTTTGGAAAATACAAACCCTATTGAAAGCATTTTTTATGTGGAATAACTGTAGGTCCCAACAGCCCCCATCCTTCGAGTGTCCCCACCAACTTTCATCACAAAGTTACACCGATGAGTCCAATGCTGTTCGCTTGCATCAAAGACGGATGAACCTGTGATTGGAGGAGGTAAGCAATACAGTTTTTTCTGTTGAATTCCCTCCTAGGTTTTATTAAAATATTTTTGTAACATATGAATATGCTTTTAACTAATGCATCAGCTACTAAATCATTACAACATGATTATATATAATATAATTTGATTGATTGATTGACGTTATGGATCTCACAGTGGAGAAATTTACTCGTTACATCAACTCAAAAAGTTAAAAGGGAAGAAAAATTTGCAAAAGAAAGAAAAAGGTGCATGGGATATATACAGTATATATAGTGCGTCCACATATGACAGCTTTTAATCTTTTTTTTATAGCAAGGTTATTGCACAGGGTGTTTAAATGGGTATTTAAATATATGGATATTTATAAAGTTACTGCACTGGATGTCAAATATAGAGAAACAGGTTATTGCACTGTGTAATCAGAATACTTGATATTTAAACAAAGATCCATAGAGCCAAACGCTCCATGACTCTTTCATGTAAATCTGTTTGAACTTAGACTTAGATGGACTTAGAGTGTATACAAAAAGAAATTTGTTCAATACAGCTCTCCAGACATTTTAATTTTTAAAGTGCAAATGTAAACATAATTATCTGTATTAATTGGCTTCTCTAAATTGTCCCTAGGTGTGAGTGATTGGTTGTTTGTCTCTGTGTTTCCCTGCGATGGACTGGAGACCTGTCCAGAAGGACCCCGCCTCTCACCCATAGACAGCTGGAGATAGCCACCAGCACCCCTCGTGACCCCACTTGGGATTAAGCGTGTAAAGAAAATGGATGTTTGGCATCCTCGTAAAGCAAATAATTGTGGTAACAAAGTACTTTAAAAAAGTACTTTATCTTTGTTCACTAAATATAGTGAGGGAGTGTTGGTCTGGTGGTAAGTGTAGTGCGCTTGTACTCTGAGAAGGTACCAGGTTGGATCCCCAAAGGCTGCATTCTGGGCTCCTGAGAAAAACCCTTAACCTCTTACACCCTAAGGGGGTATAAATAAATTTCTGCCTGACAAAAACACACAAAAGTAAATAACTTATAGCCTCACAGCTATTAGATTTAAGAAGAAACTTTTGGTACGTCTGTAAAGGTAAGATGTCATAGAATGGTTTTCTGGTGTCAGCACCATTGTAGCTTTGACCCTGCCTGAAATATTAGGGACAAAATACAAAATATTTTGCATTTTTTGAACCTCGCTAAAATTTTATTTGAAATAAACATTGCAAAACACTACCAAAATATTATTTATAGCACAAAAAAGTAGTACAGACTTTTAAATCTAAATGTTGTGTAAAAATATACCAAATTTGGACTCAATCAGATGAATCATATTTATTTTAGAATGGTATTAGTGAGAAATTTCTTAGGCGGAGAGGCCATTTTGGCACATTTATCCAAAAATGTCACCAAACTGT